TTAGTACTATATCTACCTAAATATCAATGTGTGATGTTACAAAATGCCACATGTAAAGATAACTGTTTCGTTAAAGTTAGCCCTTTTGTCTCTTCATTCACAATATAGTCTGAATCAGAAGTGTTTAATCTCTGTTCGGCCGATGGTAGTACAATAGGCCCACAAGGACATAACACCCTCAGACAAAACACCCCTAGGCTAAATGCCCCCATGACAAAAATCCCTCAATGGGTAGGACAAAAGGTCCTCAATGAAGAGATGTAATAGAATACCAACAAATCTTTTTTTTCATTCCCACGTGAATACAATATAATATAACATTAAACATTAAATCATGTAATCATATGATTCCGTGGTACCTACGTTTCCGTGGTATTTTCTAATGACATAATTTCTCACGAGCCACACGCCAAACTGCACCACCTATCGATTGTTTACGTCCATCAGTTGATCGGCACAGCTCTGAGCAATATGTTCAGACTTTCATCAATTTGCGTACATACAGTCATCTACTATTAAAAACTAATGCAACTTTATGTCTATTAATGCTAAAGAAATGTGACTATTGTGTTAATTCTACAAAATCGTTTACTGTATTACAATTTAACAACTTCGATATTACTGTAAACCTACATTGACACTCCCGGATCGGCTGTTGACAATGCGTAACATTGTGACATGTGCTGTGCTGGAGGAAATACCACGTAAACATATGGCGTCACCAAGTTGTGCACAATGGCCGCCTGTCGTCCGATATGGACAACAGTGAACTTCAGAATGACAAAAGTGTATTATTGACATTAAATGATACAAAGGTATGTCGTCTAAGACTATATTATGTTTATATATGACTTGGCAATATGAGCGATCATATTCATAGTCGTAAATGTCTAGCACATACTTCACAAATGTAAATCACCAAGCACATATTAAATGCAGTTGTGCAGTTGATACTTGTACTACAGTTCTTACCAGTCTAATATTGTGTCCTATACCAGTCAAAAGCGAATGCTGGGAACACCGTCACCAATAGCCGACCGCTGGATTCCAAACTTTAAAGAAGGTAGCAGGAAATCAGCAATTTATTTAAATAATAATAGCGCTGACCATCTTAATAGACCATCTTAATAAACACCATGTTCATTGACATGCCACAATGAGTACCTGCCCAACAAAATCAAACATAAGAGGAAGTGACCAATTTAAGCCAGTTCTCTGAAACAACATTTAGCAGACTTCATTCCATTGTTAAAATAACAACATCGTCACTGAGGAGCAGTGGGAAGAATTGGTTAGAACACATCATGTTATCACCTGTCAACTCAAAATATACACCGAGGGTGTTTTATCCTATGGGTTGAAATTTGCAAGGGCTTTTTGTCCTGGGGACATTTAGCCTAGGGGGTTTTTGTTCGAGGGCTTTTTATCCCAGTGAGCTTATTGTTTGCCCACCGTTCAGCCAGACACGGCCCGTGCTGTCAAAAACACCTTAAACCTCACACATGTATCCTGATTTCTGTCTATATCTCTAGAATACAGTTATATCTAACAAAGTACGTCTTCATAGAGTCTCAAAGCATTGTATTGGAAGCAAACACGTTGCTTAAAGTGAAGCCCTATTTTCTATACATTCTCAACAACCACACAGTATCACAGTCATGCTTTCGGTCCGGCTTGGCCCGGGTTCTCAAATACAACTTAAACCCCCACATATGTCCTGATTTGTGTTTAATTCCATAGATTAGTATTATATCTACCTAAATATTACCGTGTGATGGTACAAAATGTCACATGTAAAGATAACTGGTTCGTTTTAATTGACGCTATGTTGTGAATGGAGAGAGAAAAGGGCTTCACTTTAACGAACCATTTATCACACGGTGATATTTAGGTAGATATAATGCTAATCTATGGATTTAAACACATTTCAAGATACATGTGTGAGGTTTAAGGTGTTTTTGACATCTCCGGCCAAGTCGGGCTGAACAGAGACCAAACACTTTTGATTGAGGCTATGCTGAAAAATGAGAGACAAGGGCTTCACTTTAACGGAGCAGTTATCTTTACATGTTGCATTTTATAACATTACAAAGCGATATTAGGTAGATATAATACCAGTCTATGGATTTAAACACAAGATACGTGTGTTACGTTTAAGTTGCTTTTGACGGCTCGAGTCAAGCCGGGCGGAAAATTGTGGCCGAGATAATGTTGAGAGTGTGGGGAAGAGATCGTATCATTTAAATGTGGGCGTGCTTTAAATACGATGAAAAGTGAATTTATGGGGTGGTATGTGATTGGATATAGATATGTAAAAACATTTTCGGGCCGACGGAAATGTGTATCGGAATTGGCTTAAGTATTTATACGTTTTAAATCCCGTTCGTTTAACGATTCCACTTTTAGACGTAATCACGGTCAGCCAGTTCGCAGGCTTCCCGTCTTCCTGGATTTTAGCCGATTTACTCGTAATAAAGTTATTATGGTACGCGTTTGTGGCTTCCGATTGATCATTATTATCATGAGTGTATGTTGCATTGATTAATTGTAGGCATGGTTGTCGCAGTGAATCCAGTTCAGTGTCAGATGTTGTTGACGCAGGCACAGATGGCGATGCTGGTGTGGAGGCTGATACAGATACGGGTACAGATGGCGATGCTGGTGTGGATGCTGATACAGATACGGGTACAGATGGCGATGCTGGTGTGGATGCTGATACAGATGGCGATGCTGGTGTGGATGCTGATACAGATGCGGGTACAGATGGCGATGCTGGTGTGGATGCTGATACAGATACGGGTACAGATGGCGATGCTGGTGTGGATGCTGATACAGATACGGGTACAGATTGTGCTATTACACTAAGAGAAGCTGTGAGGAAAGAGTTATTGTTTGGTGGTCAGGGCATGCAGAAATGCAATGTACATCAAGTGCAAAGTGTCTAACCTTGAGATGTAAGGGCAAACAAAGTGGGAGAAATTGCACAAGTCGTTGTCATAATTCCAGTTCATGCTCTAATATATAATGCACATTTATCATGTCTTCAAGTTTTTATGTAATATGAATATGTAATCAATCAATTTACTCTTCTGTGTATGTGAGATGAGACAATAAATTTCAACTTTTTAATGTGTATTCTTATTGTTTTATGTATTAGGGAGTAAGGCTACTGCCTACTATAAATTTCAGGCAGTATCCTTATTGACTCTGTCAATAAGCTTACTAACATCAGTTCTCTTATTGACTAGGCAGTACCTTATTGACTAGGCAGTACCTTATTGACTTGGCTGTACCTTATTGACTAGGCAGTCACGCTACTGACGGAGTTTCCTTATTGACGCTAACATATACATGATGCAATGGTTTCTCAGAAATCTTCTCCACAAATGACCGACTCTGGGCAGACTTGGTGAAGGACTTCACCTGGTTTACTCCCATCGCTGTACCGTCCAGCAGTACATCGCCATCAACAAAATCAACCTCAAATTTCAGATTTTGTCCAACAGCCATGGCACGCATAAAATAGCTGTGTAATTCCTTGCTGTGTAATTCCATTTCTTCACATGCATCACCAGAGGATCTTCCGATAAATAAATGTGCACAGGTGCACAATAAAATTCTATCACGAAGAGCCTCCACATTAATCAAATCCCGACCTCCAGAATTGATTGACATGTATAAATGGGTAAGAGAGGAACAGGGGTGGTGAGCTCTGTTATCAGACATGATCCTTCTGGTCAGGCGGTCAAGACTCTGGATGTCTTGTTTTATCCAACCAACTACTCCAAAGGAATAGGAAAGGACTGGTACGGCAAAAAGTATTGGTAGCTTTGACCTTGTTTCGAGGATTTAGCTCTGAGCTCCAGATTTTCTTTAAGTGAGATTTATACTCGGCCCGAAATTTGTCTTGGATCTGGGAGCTTGTCTCGAACTTGCATTCCAAGATAGGTGTAGGCCTGACCTTTCACAAGATGCTCAATAACTCCTCCCCCCTGTAACCTGACCAATCCACCATTAGTTACCTTGCCACGTTTCAATAGCCACCGGCCCGCTGGCCCGTGGATAGTAAACATCCAGTCGGGCCAGTAAATCTCTACAGTCACTGGTCATGGGGTAAATATATTTTTGAAACATATCACTCTGTCAGACTTGTTAAGTTGTAATACCCTTTTAAATGATGCAAAATTATGGCCTGATACAAAATCATCAAATTAGCAGCTTCGCGATGAAACCCGTGTCATGCCGACAATATCTTATTCTCATCTATTTTTAATCTTTTGCTTAGTTTCTACTTTCAAATTTCGGGCTAGGTCCTTGCACAGTTCACTATTTGTTACGAGGGAGGAGTGCAGAGAAAGGGACAGCCAGGTGTTAGAGAAGCACGTGCACAAGTGCCCACCAAGTTATTGATTCATCAGCCTGTGCTGTGGCGTCTCCATCCTTTCTCGCACACCTGGCTGTCCCTTTCTCTGCACTCCTCCCTCGTAACAAATAGTGGACTGTGTCAAAATTTTAATGATAGTTTCTTAAAGAACTTTTTTGGTGGAGTCCTGAATATTTTCAAATATAAGAAAGCTGTTGTGAAAAAAGTTTCGTGGAAACAAGTTTCCGTCGCAAACGATGTTCGCTCAGGTCATCAGATGACACAGAAGCAAGTTAATGTATTCCAGCGTAAGATCATACACACCAAGATCATATCGTGGAGTAAACATGAAGTAGACTAGTGTTGAGCTATTGTCATCGTATGTGATGCTTTTTTCAGGTACTGAAAATGTCTCAAGCACAAAAAAGAAAATTCCGCGTGGGCTCAACCGAAGACCCAGATGATGATGATGAGGACGTGGATGTGAAGAAGCCATGTACATCAACTCAAGATGGAAGAGCACTGGATACACCAGATACAAATGTGTCTTCACTGGTATCACCACCTGGCGCACCAGTTATTGAATATGGACCATATGGTTTGATTGTTAGAGATCCTGGTGCATTAGGTGTCACAGTCATTCATACAGATGGGCGTGTCCAGCCATCAGGAGTGATACATCAAAGTGTACCATCTGAAATGATGGGGGAACAGCTTGGACCAAATGAAGTGACGCATCAGCATCCCGAGTCACCAGGAGTGACGCATCAGTACACTGGATCATCAGGAGTGACGCATCACTACACTGGATCATCAGGAGTGATGCATCAGCAGCCCGCATCATCAGGAGTGATGCATCAGCAGCCTGCTTCATCAGGAGTGATGCATCAGCAGCCTGCTTCATCAGGAGTGATGCATCAGCAGCCCGCATCATCAGGAGTGACGCGTCAGCAGCCCGCATCATCAGGAGTGACGCGTCAGCAGCCCGCATCATCAGGAGTGACGCGTCAGCAGCCCGCATCATCAGGAGTGACGCATCAGCAGCCCGCTTCATCAGGAGTGACGTATCAGCAGCCAGCATCATCAAGAGTTATGCCATGTCACCCCAGATCATTGGAAATGATACATCAGCATCCCAGATCATCAGGAGTGACGCCACAACACATTGGTGATGTATACATCTTTTCTTGACATAAACACCATTAATTTTGTTGGAAAACAGCTCGATCGTGGAGTAATATTCTGAATATTTTGCATACTTTTCTAGAAACGGCACGGTGAAATGACATTAAAAAAAAATCAAAAAACAACTTCTAACAGGAAAAAGAAACTCTTAAAAAAACAAACGTTAGGCTTGAACATAGATGAAGGAAATTCGACACACGAATGAACACATGTATTGTTGTCATTGCCAGCATTAATTCAGTTTACTTACTGTACATGTGACGCTTTCTCTATCAAATCTATCAACCTGTCGAACGCAGCTCCGCGTAAAACGTTCGTGTCGACGTCGATAGACATGTTGTCTCCCATCCTGTTGTTGAAGGAGGAAACGCATAGAATAATAAAAAATGGGGGTTACGGACGGAAAGCATTCCCTGATGGTTTGGACCGTCTATCACTTGGAAACCTTTTCCTGCTTGCACTTTTCATGTATCATTCCCACAAAAGACAACAACCACAACATGTTTAACAGGATTCAAACATAGGAATTGTTTTGACGATTGCTGTCAAAGTATATTAAAATTAACTGCTGAAAACGACTGTGCGTTTCTTCTTTTGGAAGAATGTACTATATAAATGTTCATTCCTTTTATATTTAGAAATACATTAACTGTAAGAAGTGTGTCCAAGTATTTACATGCCACCCATATTCTAACTTATATTTTTTTATTCCAGATAATCGTTTTAAAAATATCCGCGGTAAGTATAACTCATACCTATAAATTCTGTCAGCAGTTAGTGACTGTTTACGGGACCCAATCAGGACACGAATCTGTTCTAATTTGATCTCAGGTCATAACAAAATCCATCTCACATATATGTTGGATAATTTCTGAAATAGTTTTCTCAGCTACATGTTATAGCATTATGATTATCTTTCAGATGCCACGGAGTATTCACTCAAGCATGACAAAACAGAATACGTGTCTACCTATGCTCAGAGGTCTGCCCTAAGACTGTTGACAGATTGTGGATGTATCTTCCTAAAGGGGATATCAGGATCTGGGAAATCACGGCTGGGTCGGCGGTTACTAGAAGAGATGTCTAAGACGGATGGGAGGACTCCTCTTCTGTTGACTTCAGCGGATGAATGGTCACTCATTCCGAAGAAGTCCAGAAGTAAAAGTGAACGTTACATTGTGATGATTGATGACATTTTTGGCCTGACAAACTTTTCACAATCACATTTTGACGATTGGACAAAGGAGTTTGATATAATGTGGCCATCTATTGAATCTGGCCATATCTTCCTGATCTTAACATCCAGATCTGAAATCACCGCACAGTGTCAGTGCCGACTAAACAAACACAGCCTCATGAAAAATATCCGTCATTTTCTAATCGATGACGGCCAGTATGCTCTTCAGAAAAAGGAAAAAGAAAAAATGTTGAAAGTTATTTGTCATGGCAAATTTTCTGAAAAAGAAATAGAAGAAATTGTCAAAATAAAAACAGCCCTTGGGTTCCCACAGGTTTGCACTTTCTTTGCCAGTAGCAAGGAAGTGCAAAAGAAGGGGTTAAGCTTTTTCAAGAAACCTAATGAGTACGTCCAAAAGGAAGTTGATGCACTCAAGGAAAGTGATGGTTTGAGTTACCTGGTTCTTTTGCTGGTATTGATGAGCGATGGGCTTCTTAATGCATCCTCTCTTGATCCAAGAAAATGTACATCTGATTTTAAAGAAATGGTTGAGATGATGAAAGAATATTGTTCAAATCTACCCACACGTCCAAGCTTATTTGACATCAAAACAAAAGCAGTTTCACTCTGTGGTGTTTATTTAGAGCAAGGCCAGAAAGGATATGCTTTTCAGCATCAGTCTATATATGAGTCTGTTTTCATAAGCATCTCAGAGCAGTATCCCAGCTCTTGCATCAGAACATGCCCAAGTGATGTCCTTGGAGAAGTGGTAAGAACCGAAAGGCTGGATGGAGACATACGTATTGTCTTGATACCTGAGGAAAATTATGATGCATTTGCTGACCGCATCACAGAGTTGCTTTTGTCAGCTGAACCTAAGAGCAGTGGAATGATAATGAGACATCCTTCACTCAAGCACAAGGAATTTATATCATTCTTGGTGCAAAGGTGGGCGAAAAAGGGGCAACTGACAAGCATTATGCAGTGCAAACATTTTGTAGGATTTGTTTCATATAACTCGGAAGATAAGAAGATTAGGATGTTCAAATGTGATTATTTATTGAGTAAATTTGTAATGGAAAGTAATGATCATCTGGTACAGGTTGTTTTAAATTCGATTCCATCACCTGAGAAATTCAAAGACACAATACAGGAATGTTTGCATTGTGCAATTTCTGTTGGAAGTAACAATTTTGTCAAATGGTGTCTTGATCATGGTGCTGAGCCAAACGAAAACTGCTTTAAAGCTCTGTTTGTGAATTCTGGCCCGAGTCCTAAGAATGACGTCATTGATAGAATCTTTAATGGTTTTGTCACTGCTTACTTGAGGGAAAAAAAACTCTGCTACAGTCCAGAATTAGGAAAAGGATATGCAATTGATCCAATCCTGACACTATTGTTACAGTATGCTGTACACATGGGACACACATATATTGTCAAGTTGACAGTGCACATGTTAAAACACAAGGACGACAACCTCAATGTAATCTCAGAGATATTGTCATGGCTCTGTGATCAGATGCAAACACATCATCCCAAATGCACTGTGTTTAGCAGCAGGGAATGTTTAAAAGAAATGATTCAGATACTACTTGCAACTGGATGTAAACTTCATTGTCAACATCTCCTTTTGTCAGCCTCAGCTCACTCAGATGCCACAGTTCTGAATCTTTTACTGAATCTTGAGACAGACATTTTGCAGACGAGGAATTACGTCGATGATAACAAGTACTCCACCAAATACGCAACACCTCAAGAACAGGCAGCAGCTTATGGTAGCACTGAGTCCTTGGATATATTGTTGGAATACTCCCAAGACATAAGCAAGCGTTTTAGGGTTGTTGCCGCAAACACCTTCTTGCTACACAGGGCAGCACAACATGGAAATGATAAATGTGCAGATTTCTTATTAGTGAAAGGTTTTCAGGTAGATTTGAAAGACAATGATGGCAATACCCCATTACATTTGGCTGTTCAGAACAGTCACCTTGAATGTGTGAAAATACTTCTCCAGCATAAGGCACCTGTCAACCAGGAAAATCGTGAAGGACTCGTACCTTTGTCGGTCATTGAAATCGTGAATCGTGAAATAGTGACAGCTCTAGTTGTGGCAGAAAGTATCTTAAATCAAATGGATGGAAAGGGTAGAACAATTCTTCACAAGGCTGTTCTATGTAATGATTTGGAGACTGTAAAATTCCTTTGCAGCAAAGAAGCTGATGTGAATATTCTTTCACAATGCGGTTCACAAACTAGAAGTGTTGTTCACCTAGCCTGTGAGTATGCTGACATAGAAATACTAAAGCACTTGTGCATCTCAGGAGCACGGATTGAAGCAGTAGATGCTGACAAGAGACCAATTGTTCACATGACAGCATGCTCTCGTGTTGATGCTTTAGAGAAACTCACATTTCTCATTGATGTCAAAAAGCATCTTCCTGATGCAGAAGACAAGGATGGCAGAACAGCGATATTTTCAGCAATCGACACTCATGTCGATACTTATGGAGTTGAAATATTGGAATTCCTACTGAACAGACGGGTGAGTGTGAATCACAAAGGTGCCAGTAAAGACAACATTTTGATATGTTTACTCAAAACACCTTTCACACACGACAGCATCATGAAAATGGTTGATTTAGTGGTAAAAATGGGTGTTGATTTGAATGAAACGGACGTCTGTGGTAGAACAGCCCTTCATCACGCCATTGAGGATGTGAATTATAATGCAGCAGAGCTAATTCTCAAGCATGGAAATACAGACAGAGATTTCGATCCAAATAGAAGAGATGAATTCGGAAAAACATGTCTTCACTATGCCACCGAACAGAGTGAATCTGAACTTTGGGATCGCTATGATATACCAGATCCTGAATCATATTCATATTCTCAGTATTGCTATCTTCTAAGACCTTGTATGTTTTATTATGCAAGAGAAAACTACGCGCTGACCAAAATGCTTCTGGAGCAAGATGTGAACCCACACCCTCAAGATATAACGGGTAGAAACCCTCTTCATTACGCTGCAGGCTGTGGTAAACCTAAGACTGTGAAACTTCTTCTGGAAAAAGGCGTTGACCCAAATGTAAGGGATGGAATGGGATGGACGCCCTTTCATATGGCTGCTTTACACGAAAGATACATGACTGTAAGTGCCTTGCTAGACAGTGGAATTGATGCAAATATACAAGACAATCAGGGAATGACAGCACTTCATTTAGTTGTGACGGAGAGAGGCTGCACTTTACAGAACTTAGAAGCAGACTTTGATTATACAGGGATATTTCGTCAGGGTCATTGTAAATTCCTCAAGTTATTTTTAGAGAAGGGTGTTGACCCAAATATACCGGATAAGCTAGGTAGGACAGCTCTTCACTATGCTTCAGATCATTCGGAAAACTCCAGTGTCAAGGTTCTGCTTGATCACGGTGCTGATCCAGATGTTCAAGATCTATGGGGCATGACGTCCCTCCATTGTGCTTCTAGCAAAAAAGGCTCAGTATTTAAGGATACACTTCCACTTCTACTTGAGAAATCGTTAAAATTAAATGTTCAAGATAGCCGTGGAAAGACAACACTTCACTATGCTTCTGAAATCAGGTGTAGCGGTTTGAAGCTTCTACTGGACCATGGTGCTGATCCATGTTTACGGGATCAACAGGGCATGACAGCCCTCCACTGTGCTTCTCCAAAACATAGATGTAATATGGAAGCTTTTCAAATGCTGTTAAAATCAGGTGTTGACCCAAATGTCATTGATGAGCAAGGAAGGACAGCACTTCACTATGCATCAGAAAATTCAGACAAAAAGAGCATCAAGCTTCTTCTAGATCGTGGTGCTGATCCTTCTGTACAGGATCTGCAAGGCATGACATCTCTCCACTGTGCTGCTACGAATAGTTATGGAGCCTTACAGACACTGATCGATAGAGGAGTGGATCCAAATATTCTTGACAAGAAGAGAAGAACAGCACTTCATTATGCCTCAGAACGTGACTCTGAAGACTCAGTGAAGCTTCTGCTTGATCGCTGTGCTGATCCAGGTGTACAGGACCTGCAGGGCATGTCAGCTCTCCACTGTGCTGTACACTTGCGTCATTACCGGTCTGATGTTTTGCCGATACTGTTAGAGAAAGGCATACACCCAAATTGCCTTGATAAGCAGGGGAAGACAGCTCTTCACTATGCTTCAGAAAATTCGACGAAAGAGTGTGTCAAGCTTCTTCTGGAATACAATGCTGATCCAGGTGTGCAGGACATACATGGCATGACATCTCTCCACTGTGCAGCAAAGGCCAAAGACAACAGCTGTGATATTTTGGAAATACTGCTGAGAAAGAGTGTGGGCTCAAATATTGTTGACAAGAAAGGAAGAACAGAACTTCACTATGTGTCAGAACATTCGGACAAAGAGAGTGTCAAGCTTCTTCTAGATCACGAAGCTGATCCAGGTGTGCAGGACATACATGGCATGTCATCTCTCCACTGTGCAGCAAAGGCCAAAGACAACAGCTATGATATTTTGGAGATACTGCTAGAGAAGAGTGTGGACCCAAATCTTCTTGACAAGAAAGGAAGGACAGCACTTCACTATGTGTCAGAACATTCGGACACAGAGAGTGTCAAGCTTCTTCTAGATCACGAAGCTGATCCAGGTGTGAAGGACATACATGGCATGACATCTCTCCACTGTGCAGCAAAGGCCAGATACAACAGCTGTGATATTTTGGAGATACTGCTGGAGAAGAGTGTGGGCCCAAATATTCTTGACAAGAAGGGATTGACAGCTCTCCACTCTGTGTCAGAATGTGACTCTGCAGACTCAGTGAAGTTTCTGGTTGATCGCTGTGCTGATTCAGGTGTACAAGACTTACAGGGTATGTCAGCTCTCAACTGTGCTGTACACTTGCATCGTTTCCGATGTGATGTTTTGCCGATACTGCTAGAGAAAGGCAAATACCCAAATCTTCTTGACAAGCAAGGAAGGACAGCTCTTCACTATGCGTCAGAACATTCGAACAAAAAGAGTGTCAAGCTTCTTCTAGATCACGAAGCTGATCCAGGTGTGCAGGACTTACAGGGCATGACATGTCTCCATTGTGCTGCTAAGAATCGTTACAGTTACGATATTTTGGAGATACTTCTGGAGAAGAATGTGGACCCAAATCTTCTTGACAAGAAAGGAAGGACAGCTCTTCACTATGCGTCAGAACATTCGAACAAAGAGAGTGTCAAGCTTCTTCTAGATCACAAAGCTGATCCAGGTGTGCAGGACATACATGGCATGACAACTCTCCACTTTGCTGCTAAGAATCGTTACAGTTACGGTATTTTGGAGATACTGCTGGAGAAGAGTGTGGACCCAAATGTTCTTGACAAGAAAGGAAGGACAGCTCTTCATTATGCGTCAGAAAATTCGAAGAAAGAGAGTGTCAAGCTTCTTCTAAATCACGAAGCTGATCCAGATGTGCAGGACTTTCATGGCATGACATCTCTCCACTGTGCAGCAAAGGCCAAAGACAACAGCTGTGGTATTTTGGAGATACTGCTGGAGAAGAGTGTGGACCCAAATATTCTTGACAAGAAAGGAAGGACAGCTCTTCTCTATGCTTTAGAACAATCGCCAGTCAAAAACATAAAGCCGGTTCAACACGGTGCTTACACAGAAGTACAGAATTTGTTTGCCGATATACCTCTTCATCCAACAGCTGATTATACCAGACCTGAAGACATGATGCATGTGTATAATATCACTAAACCAGTTGCTCGTAGGACATCTATTTACCGTTGTGAATTCGAAGATGATTATGGAACACTACTGTGTGAGTATAGAAGGATGAAAATGCTGGAGATGCTTGTCATGAAGGTCAACCCCAAAATACAAGATCACGAAGGAAGGACAGCTTTACACTACGCTGCACAGGCTTCACGAAATGAAACTTTAGAGCTTCTTTTAGAACTTGGGGTCAATGTACATAAGCAAAATGACCAGGACAGGGCCTTTTTCCGGGCTGCTGCTGACCGCAGCTACAACAGGTGTGAACGAGTGAAGCTGCTACTCAGACGGGGCGTCGACAAAACTGTTCGAGACAGACATGGGAGAACAGCTGAGCAGTATGCTACAGAACTATCAGATATCAATCCGTGACTTCTCTGGAGACGGTACACCATTCGGCACAGAATTAGAGAAGAGCACGGGGATGTCGAGAACAATTGTGGCCATTCTGGATTATTGTAAAGTAGACAATGGAACCCAGACGTAAAGGGGGAAGAAGGAACGGGAGGGTTTGGGCGGTATTTATATAGTAGCACTGGGCGGTAGGGTAGCCTTGTGGTTAAAGTTTTAGGTCATCACCCAGAAGACTGGGTTAGATTACCAACATGGGTACAATGTATGAAGCTAATTTCTGGTGTGAACCAAATAACTCCATATTGAAAACAAGCCCAAGTGAGCCGACAGTACCGTGACCGTGTGGAAATGTTACCTTTGCTTCATATACGGCTTTAGCATTGGAGAAAGGTCAGGACTGAAGACAGAATAACTTGGTCAAGGGACAGTGAGACAGTCTATCAATGTGCTGTTCACTAATCTTGAACTGTTTCATATTAAGCTTTAGATTTAACTAAAGTTTTCTTCAGCGTCTGCATGGGTTTTTCGGAACACTCATAGATAAATTAAGTTCCTTGGTCCTCTAGAGTTATTACATGTAAAGGGTTTATAGAGACAAATAGATATAGGCATGCGCAGTATGGCCAAACAAATGGAGCCCATACAAACCTGTGTACATTCCTTTTAGTTCTGCAATATATATTCTCTTTACAATGTGAAAGCTAGTTATATGTAGATCATACAGGGAACGAAACAGACAGCCTGCAGTTGTAGATATTGTGCTTCAGTATGATACGGCCATCAAAATGTCTTTTCTATGGGAGGTAGCTGGTTAAAATTGCATGGTTACATACGCACATCGAAAATGACCCAAGTCTTTGTCTGTGTTTTAAACGGTGCTAACGTTAAATTTTGCAATTATAATGTAACCTGCTTGTGACAAAGGTTAGCTCCCCTTAGGCTCCCAAACCTTTCTCGAACCCTCTGGGTCAGATTACACTGGAAAGGCCCATGCGATTGTTGTACCTATCAGAACCCTGTCTAAAAACAGAACAAGTCTAAAAATGCATTCCATTGCCCTTTACTGAATGTGAGCAGGAGCTTAATTACACACTTTAAACACTGATTCATAGTGAAGACCACTGTCACATGCAATTGGTTTTGGTTTTCAGCAACTGATCTCGTGAATGATGTGATATGCTGTAATATGAGATGCTTATGTGTATTCCTTTGGATCTGACAATGTACAAGCAGGACATTATCACCAATTCTTGGTTAGCGTTTCAATAACAACTTCGACTGTATCACTAGATGTATATTGCAGTTATGATGGCTGACGTGTTTCACGTCGAATACAGTTCTTTGATGCTATTATTCGTTCTTGTTTTGTTTGATATTTTATATATACATATTTTTGTATGTGTAACAGCCAGTGTCCGTGTACGGTTGTGAAGTATCAATTTCTGTGAAAAACCGTGATGTGTGAATATAGTAAGAAATAGTGAGGGTGGATGTGATAGTTATTGTTTTTATCATAACTTGTTTTATATACCATTGTTAGTATTATCAAGGTTGTATATTAACTTTTCTTAGAATGACCCGTGATGATTGATGATCCGTGACTGCTATGAGACCTTGTTTACACTCTGTGGTTAGTGTACTACATATGATCTTGTATGTAATGAACTCTCTATATATTCTTCATGTATATCATAAATGATATACATACATATGAAGGAATAGTTTTCATCTTATTATTTATATTTAAAGATATATTTATGCTAATGCATTGTTAGGGCTAGCTGTATTCTAAGAATATGTAGAACGTGTAATACGTGTATATGTAAGGCATGTTATGCCTTTATGCTCAAATAGTTAATTATATTTTTGTATATTTTCAGAATTATCAAACATTCCTTTTTATTGGATGAATAAAATGGCTGCCATCTGTGACCACAAGTAGCGTTATGTTGTGTGTTCTACACCCACCCACCAACATTCACCCCATGGCTACTACTATATTGACGTCTGTGTCGGTGTGTGGAACTGTGACGTGTGAGTTGACGCTGATGTAAGTGTGGAACTGTGACGTCTGTGTCAGTGTGGAAGTGTGACGTGTGTGTTGACGGCTGTGTCGGTGTAAAACACTGACGTGTGTGTTGACATCTGTGTAAGTGTAAAACTGTGACGTGTGTTGACGGCTGTGTCGGTGTAAAACACTGACGTGTGTGTTGATATCTGTGTAAGTGTAAAACTGTGACGTGTGTTGACGTCTGTGTCCGTGTGTCAAACAGTGACGTGTGTGTTGACGTCTGTGTCGTAGTGTGGAAATGTGACGTGTGTTGACGTCTGTGTCAGTGTGGAGCTGTTACGTGTGTGCTGACGTCTGTTTGTGTGGAACAGTGACGTGTGTTCATGTCTGTGTCGGTGAAGAACTGTGACGTGTGTGTTGACGTCTGTGTCAGTGTGGAGCTGTGACGTTTGTTTTGACGTCTGTGTCAGTATGGAGCTGTGACGTGTGTGTTGACATTTGTGTCAGTGTGGAACTGTGACGTGTGTTGGCGTTTGTGTGAGTGTGGAACTGTGATGTTGCCGTCTGTGTCAGTGTGGAGCTGTGACGACTGTGTTGATGTCGATGTGAGTGTGGAACTGTGACGTCTGTGTCAGCTTGGAACTGTGGCGTGTGTGCTGACGTCTGTGTCAGTGTGGAAGTGTCACGTATGTGTTGCCGTCTGTCTCGGGTGTTGAACACTGACGTGTGTGTTGAAGGCTGTGTCGGTGTGGAACACTGACGTGTGTGTTGACATCTGTGTAAGTGTGACACTGTGACGTGTGTTGCCGTCGGTGTCAGTGTAGAACGGTGACACCTGTGTCAGTGTGGAACTGTGATGTGTGTTGCCGCCTGTGTAAGTGTGCAACAGTGACGTGTGTGTTGCCGTCTGTGTCGGTGTGGAGCTGTGACGTGTGTGTTGACGTGTGTGTCAGTGTGGAGCTGTGACGTGTGTGTTGACGCCTGTATAGGTGTGTAGAGCTGTGACATGTGTGTTGACGTCTGTTTTAGTGTGGAGCTGTGACGTGTATTAACGTCTGTGTCAGTGTGTGGAACTGTGACGTGTGTTAACGTCTGTTTCGGTGTGTGGAGCTGTGACGTGTGTGTTGACGTCTGTGTCAGTGTGGACCTGTGACGTGTGTGTTGACGTCTGTGTGAGTGTGTGGAGCTGTGACGTGTGTGTTGACGTCTGTGTCAGTGTGGAGCTGTGACGTTTGTTTTGGCGTCTATGTCAGTGTGGAGCTGTGACGTGTGTGTTGACGTCTGTTTTAGTGTGGAGCTGTGACGTGTGTGTTGACTTTTGTCTCTGTGTAGAACTGTCACGTGTGTGTTGACGCCTGTGTGAGTGTGGAACTGTGACGTGTGTGTTGACGCCTGTGTCAGTGTGGAGCTGTGACATGTGTGTTGACGTCTGTGTCAGTGTGGATCTGTGACGTGTATTAACGTCTGTGTCAGTGTGTGGAACTGTGACGTGAGTGTTGACGTCTGTTTCGGTGTGTGGAGTTGTGACGTGTGTGTTGCCGTCTGTGTCAGTGTGGAGCTGTGACGTGTGTGTTGACGCCTGTGTCAGTGTGGAGCTGTGACATGTGTTTTGGCGTCTGTCTCTGTGTGGAACTGTGACGTGTGTGTTGACGTCTGTGCCGGTGTGGAACTGTGACGTGTATTAACGTCTGTGTCATTGTTTGGAACTGTGGCGTGTGTGTTGACGTCTGTTTCGGTATGTGGAGCTGTGACGTGTGTGTTCACGCCTGTCTCAATGTGAAGCTGTGACGTTTGTTTTGGCGTCTATGTCAGTGCGGAGCTGTGACGTGTGTGTTGACGTTTGTTTCAGTGTGGAGCTGTGACGTGTGTGTTGACTTTTGTCTCTGTGTGGAACTGTGACGTGTGTGTTGACGCCTGTGTGAGTGTGGAACTGTGACGTCTGTGTTGACGTATGTGTCGGTGTGTGGAACTGTGACGTCTGTGTTGACGTATGTGTGAGTGTGTGGAGCTGTTATATGTGTGTTGACGTCTGTGTCAGTGTGGAGCTGCGACATGTGTGTTGACATCAGTGTCAGCGTGGACCTGTGACGTGTTTGCTGACATATGTGTCGGTGTGGAACCGTGACTTGTGTGTTGACGTCTGTGTCAGTGTTGTTCTGTGACGTGTGTGTTGACACCTGTGTCAGTGTGGAACTGTGACGTGTGTTGCCGCCTGTGTCAGTGTGCAACAGTGACGCGTGTGTTGCCGTCTGTGTCGGAATGGAGCTGTTACGTGCGTGTTGACATCTGTGTCAGTGTGGACCTATGACATGTGTGTTGACATCTGTGTCAGTGTGTGGAACTGTGACGTGTGTGTTGACGTCTGTGTCGGTGTGGAACTGTGAAGTGTGTTCACTTCTGTGCAAATTTGGAACTGTGACCTGAGTTTTAAAGCTAGCGTCAGTGAGTTTACTTGTCATGCAGACGGTTGAAGTTGAGGATGCCACCTCTGATTCGTTGTTTGAGGCTGAATAGTCCATCCTCTTTCCCTGAAACACGTTGCAGTACATTGTGACAGAAAGCACCATTCGTGCTGTTGATCACTGGGTTGTCTGGTCCAGACTCGATAATTTACAAACCGCCGCCATATAGCTTGGATATTTTGTGACGTTACACAACGAACACAAACAATACAAAACAATACAACTAAACAGTTTTTTGAGAGTTTCATTATACCGGACCCGTGAAGATCCGGGGTAGAATAGGTCTTCAGCAACCCATGTGCTTGCCATAAAAAAGGCGACTATCTTGTCGTAAGAGGCGACTAACGGGATCGGGTGGTCAGTTTCGCTGACTTGGTTGACACATGTCATCGGTTCCCAATTGCGCAGATCGATGCTCATGCTGTTGATCCCTGGATTGTCTGGTCCAGACTCGATTATTTACAGACCGCCGCCATATAGCTGGAATATTGTTGAGTGCGGCGTAAAACTAAACTCACTCACTCACTCATTCATTATACCGATCA